TCTGTCTGTCCCCCCAGGTGTCTGTCTGTCTATCGGGGTGTCTGTCTGTTTGTCTGTCTGTCCGTCGGGGGGGTGTTGTGCCTCTGGGGGTGTCCGTCTGTCTGTCCCGGGGGCTTCCCACCCACTAGGGTGTCTGTCTGTCTGCCGGGGTGGCTGTCTGTCCTTCTAGGTGTCCACCTATCTATTGGGGTGCCCATCTGTTTGTAGGGGTGTCTGTCTGTCCTTCCAAGTGTCCAGCTGTACATCGGGGTACATCTGGCCATTGGGGGTGTCTGTCTGTCTTCCTGGGTGTCCATTTATTGGGGTGTCTGTCTGTCCTTCTGGGTGTCTGTTGGGGTGTCCACTTGTCCTTCTGGGTGTCTGTCTGTCCATCAGGGTGTCCACTTGCCCTGGTTGTCTGTTGGGGTGTCTGTCTGTCCTTCTGGGTGTCCATCTGTCCATCAGCATGTCCACTTGCCCTGGTTGTCTGTTGGGGTGTCTGTCTGTCCTTCTGAGTGTCCATCTGTCCATCGAGGCACCCATCTCCCTATTGGGATGTCCTTGACCTCCTGGCTCTCCATCCCTTGTGCTGTCCATCTCATGGTGTCCCTCCATCCACAGGTCCATCCATCCATCCACCCACCCACCCCACCCGTCACCACCTGCCCAACGCCATGTACACCGCGCTCCCCAAAAGGTACCAACCCCCTCCCCACCCACCTCCCCATCCCCCCTCTTTCCCCTCCCCAACTCACAGCACCCCCTCACCCCACAGCGGTTCCCCTTTTGGCCCCACTGCCACCCACCCAGGGCTGCACATCTGGCGGGTGGAGAAGCTGCGGCCAGTGGAGGTCCCCAAGGTGACGTGGGGTGTCTTCTTCTCGGGGGATGCCTACCTGGTTCTGCACAACGGGCCGGACGAGCGAGCCCACCTCCACCTCTGGATGGGTGAGCCCTGGTGGTGGTGGTACCGGGGTGGTGGTGGTGGGACCAGGGGGCTCAGCGCTGGCTGCCACCGCAGGCCGGGACTCCTCGCGGGACGAGCAGGGTGCCTGCGCCCTCCTCTCCACCCAGCTCAACACGCTGCTGGGGGAGCGCCCTGTGACGCACCGCGAGGTGCAGGGCAACGAGTCTGATGTCTTCATGGAGTACTTCCCCCGCGGCGTCACCTACCAGGTACGGGTGCTGGGCACCCCTCATGGGTGCTCCTGGAGCTCAGCATCCCCACTGGGCGCTCAGCACCCCAACCAGGCTCTCAGCATCCTGGATGGGTGCCCAGCTTCCCCACTGAGTGCTCAGCATCCCTACTGGGTGCTCAGCATCGCCACTGAGCTCTCAGCACCCTCACCACCCTGCTTATTCCTCTCTGAGCATGTGGGACCCCCGCTCTGGGTGCTGGGGGCATCCCCAGTAGGTGCTCAGCCTCCCTGGTGGGTTCTCAACATCCCTGATGGGTGCTGAGCATCCTTTCTGGGTGCTCAACACCTCGACCATGTGCTCAGCGTCCTCTCCGGGTGCTCAGCATCTCTACTGGATGCTCAACCTCCCTGGTGGGTGCTCAGCATCACCTCTGGGTGCTCAGCATCCGTGCTGGGTGATGGTCATCCCCGTTGGGTGCTGGGCACCTCGTTGAGTACCCAACATCCCCGTTGGGTGCTCAGTATCTCTGTTGGGTGCTCAGCATCACCTCTGGGTGCTCAGCATCCATGCTGGGTGATGGTCATCCCCATTGGGTGTTGGGCACCCTGCTGAGCACTCAGCACCTCCGTTGGGTGCTGGGGACCCCCACATGGGCGCTCAGCACCCCTCATGCCGGCAGGAGGGTGGCGTAGAC